ATACTTCAGACTGGAGAACCAAAATACTGAGCACTTCGCAAAATCTCTAGGTTTTTTGGATCCTACAAATTTTGCGAAGCCTGCCAAACTTGATTGGTAGAAGGTATCCAAAAAAAAAAAACAAACACCCAACCCAAATCACTTGAAGTTTCATCAAAACAATTTTCAGCCCGATCGGACTTGAAATGGCGGAGAAAAAGGGGGGAAAACTGGTTTTTGATACCCAAAAAACTGGTTTCGAGAAAAATGCAAAATAAAAAAAACTTGTAGAAGAATTTTTTTTCCGCTTATACGTAAGTATAGGTATACCATATCATAATATAACTTTATGTTAAAAAAAAAAAATTTTTTTTTTAATGCATAGGTCTCCGAAAAACCTGGTTTTTCAGAGACTTCCAGACCTTTGATGGTTCTGATTTTTATAGCACACATAGAGGGGACCTTGATACACCTTTATACGAAAACAAAAAAAAATCGAAAAAAAAATTTTTTGGCTCTGGAAAGGGGGGGGTCCCCTTAAGTCTTTATTTGTTCTCTTTTTTTCTCATCTTTTTTTCATATTTCAAATTATCTTGCCTTCACTAGTATTCTTACTCTTCGTTCAATGATTTTTAAACCGCTTATCCTCAATTTTTTCTTTCACTTCTTTTAGCATCGCTACTCTCAATCATTCCTTATTTTATTTTTTTAAGAGAGTAAAAACTTCAGCATTCTCTGAGACAGAATATCGGTTGACTTTTCAGGCTCTGTTTATGAAAAGAGTGGATTAGCAAGATACATTTTATCTTTTTCTTGTGTTAAGTGCCCGAGATAAAGTCGAGTCAAGATTCTCTTTTTTTGTTGTAATTTGAAAAGCAAGAATAAAAATTAAAAAAAACAACATTGAAAATAAAACTAGAAATTGCACTGCATCTACACGAAAAATTGTTGATAATGGTGAGGTATACAAAACATTGTTGGTGACGTCTTCCAGTTAAGAATATAAGATCGGATTAACTTTTTATCATACATGCACGCTAGTTTGAAATAGACTGAAGATTGAAAGATAATGAGAGAACGAAATTAAAAAAATCTCAGGAAAGAATGAGAAAGAAGTGACAGGCAGAGTAAACAAAAAGACAGAATGTGAAAAATAGCGCCATCAATGAAGAAAGACAATTGTGAAATGAGGCATATATTAGGGTGTGGATGTGAGTGTAGGTCTTCTTTTTACCCACACCCATACCCTTTAAGATACTTCTAATCGATTGATGTTGATTGATAATTTTGATTATGCCCATAGGATTTTGAAATTTTAATTGATTTTAATCCCTAAAATTTTTTACTGCGTTGTATCCATAGTCACATACAAAAACACTGAATCTGACCAACTTCACCTGTCTCAAGTGTAATTACGATGAAAGAAACAAAAATCAGATGATGATAAAGCGTAAGGACATTGATGCAAAGAAGATTTTGACGCACAGCCTCCTATGTAGAATCACACCTGTAATTCTCAGTAAGTTATAATATACATTACGTAAAACCGACAGATTTTAACTGTTTTACAAATTGATCTGTTTATGTTACAAAGATAATGTATCATGACAGCATTATTGTGCTTTTTTCTTTAATAAATAGTTAAGTTGTCTTATTAGTCTAGAAAATAATATGCACCGTCATTTTAACCATCATTGAATAAGTGTTCATATATTGCATATATTAGTTCCATGAAATTTTCTTTGGTAAAGCATGATACTTTATTTTTCATTCTACTAATATTATTTTTGTACATTTCGATGTATTCAAAATTCGATGAAGACATTCTCAACTCGACCTGACATGCATTTTCATAATTATTCATTTTATTGAATATAGTTCTAATTGTATTATGTGTCAATGATGTAAAGCATTTCCTTTCCGATAGATAATCAGTTGAAATTCGAATTAGATTATTAGAATAAAGTTGATAAAGATTTTCGTAAACGGATATTAGTTCCTTATCATCAACTGATAATATTTTTAAATCTATTTCCAACGCTTCTTTATATTTATCTAATGCAGTATCATAATCATAATTAATGAAATATAATTCTCCAAAATCATTATATAATGATATAAGTTGATTATCATTAGGTGATAAATATTCGAGTACAGTTTTACGTGCAATTTCATTCATTTTGAATGCATCAATATATTTATCTAATTGATAATAAATTATGCTAAGATTTCGATAGACCATGATCACATCTCAATAATTTGATTCTAATGATAATAAACAAATTTCAAGTTCTTTATGATAATATTTTAATGCGTTACATAAATCTTCTTTATCAAAATATAGACCCTTGTAATATTGTTATATGCTATAGCAAAACTTTGATCATTAGATGAAAGTACTTCTTGTTCTATGTCAAGCATCTTCTGAGAATTTATTAAAGTCATGTCATAATTGCGCACACTATGATATATTATTCCTAAACTATTATTAGTCTTTGATAATTTCAAATGATTTGTATATTAAATTTTTTCCATTATTTTAATTTACTTTTGCATAGGCATTAATTGATTCATCAAATTTCTTCTGTACAGAATATAATTCAGTAATTTATGAACTTTTGGACTATGTTCAAAAACTTGTTTACCATTGACAAAATGCTAAATCATATTTATTTTGTCTTAAATAAACACTTGAAATATTATTGTATGTCATTGCAAGCGCTTCAGGCACATGTCAATTGAATTTCTAATGCGTTTTCAAAATGATTCAATGCATTTGTTAAATGTCCTTGTCTAAGAAATATAAATCCAATATTACTTTATGCTCTTGTATATTCTATATTGCTCATTGGTAAACATTTTGTTTGAATTTCAATTAATTTTGTAAAAATATCTAATGTATTATCATAATTATGAAGTTCACGATAGATTGTACCAAATTTTTCATATGTTTTAATTACATTCGGATGATTCGATGCTAAGTCTTTCGTTTGCAATTCAAGTACTATTTTGAAACATTTTATTGCTTGCTGATAAATTTTTATCAGCTAAATATACATTGTTTCATATTATTATACAGTATTGTCAGATTGAGATTATTCGATGGGGATAGATTTTATTGAAAGGTGTGGGTGTGAATAAAAACAAGTTTCACATCCCACACCCACAGTCACACGTAAATAGCGTATCTCTATAACAAACTAAACAGGAAAGCTCTTTTTGCCGTGCTTACAGCAGTTAAGAAAAGGGTTGGAGATGTTGTGACGACACTTTAGTTCAAGTAGAAAGTAAAGGTAACTTGGCGTCAACATTTCAGGAATTTTTCAGACCAGTGCTACTATCCAATCCTATAAGTTTCATTTCAAGCAACAAATCTTCTACTATAAGATCAAAGTGAAGCCAGAGCGTTCTCAATTCTTGGATTTGTTCTTGAAACGAGTCGTCTCGTCTTAGATAGCTGTATTCACTTGAGCAAATTTCTATAGCACACTATCAACCTGTACTCCATATCAAGAGATTATTTAAAGTAAAAAAATAAAATCAAGGACCTGTACAAAACATACTTTACTGCATTCATTTACAGTATTTATGAAGAAAAGGCCAGTTCATAAAACTAATTCTGAACGAAAATCGTTGTTTCGAAAACGCACTGTTTATCAGTTAGAATTTTCCTTTCTATGTACTCGTATAACGGCCAACAATTTTCTATATGTAATACTACATCAATGGATTATTTTAGGAGATCATATATAATCAACTTTATGTGTAAACAATGTGATTTTATCTTTTCAAAATCATTTTTTCCGTTGTACCTCAAAATTAAATTCAAAATCATTAGATACCGAAATTCAAAACTAGTTTTGGTTTTAATGCATGTTTATTTAATATTGTATATTTCTTGATAAATTTTTGTTGCTGTTTTTGGGTCTATTGACATCATTTTTAATATCAATTTTTGAATAGATAAAGATGAATCAAAATACAGATTCTATAACATTTCACTATCGGCAATTGAACTATTTCTTATGAAGACACCCAATCTTATTCATCTTGATTTAACAGCAAAATATCGAAGAGAATTTGCTAACAACACATATTGAGCCAATTTTATTTCGTCATTTTTACCTCAACTTTCCACATTCAACTTTTATTTTCGTTTTCAGCATGATATTTTGGATGAATATGATTTAAATACATTTTGCAGCTCGTTTTGGCTTGAATATAAACGGTGGTATGTTGCATGTGATCGACTATCGCCATTATTATATACAGTTGCTAATCGTTACTTTCATCACTGTAACAGAAGCGATTATATGAATATGACGTCTCCACAAGGTTTGGCATTATTGTGCAATACTGTAACTTACCTTACGGGACACTGGTCGTATCTCAGATCTGATTGCTTCAAAGATCAAATTTTCACTAACACTCACACACTGGAATTGAATTGCGCCATATTATATTGCTCACCTGACAAATATTGTTTTTTTCATGGGAGTGCAATCATGTACTTAATTATACAGCCGCTCGTCATTTGATATTCCAAAGAGATATAGACTGGGGTAAACTTGTGGATTATAATAATCCAAATATAGCTGAATTCACTCTACGCTCATTAAATGGATGTAAGCGATGTTTTCCACTTTATTCAATTCGTAAACTTCAAATAAATAAAGTAGACAATATCGATCGAATATGTTCTATTTTTCCATCACTGGAACATTTAAAAATTTCTGTATATGACCGAAATGAGATAACATATATTATAAATCAATTGAAATATTTATGTAATACAGAATTTCATTATAATAGAAAAAAACATATTTCAATCGAATGGATTTGCGGGAAAAACTAACTTAATCAAAGACAATTTTACTTATATATTGGATACACAGTTATGCATATTATATATGTGGATCAATAATCAATCAAAAGTAAGTTTGATTTAATAGAGTTTTATTCATTATGTATTTATTCTTTTTAGAAAAATGTCATTTCACCAAATTCATTCACTCGCTTTTCATCATGGATTAGAAGACAAAAATTAAGAAAAATAAAAAGGCCGTATTATTGGAATTTACTACTAACATTATATGAGTGTACCTTTAAATCTGGACTTTTTGCTACTACTCTATTTATGGATGAAGCTCCTTTACACAGACTTTCTTAACTCTGGAGCTTCAGTTTAAATATTCAGTTTTCAAAATAAATTGTTTGTTGACTGTATTATTACAACTGATATATATTGTGTGGTTGTGGCTGTGACTGTATGGGTATGGGTCTTGCTTTGATACACATCCATACCCACATCTACCCACCCCATACTCTCTTGTTACGAAAAGAGCCCGACATTCTTAATGACAGAGCGTTGCACCGCAAGTTTATTTTTAGAATTTTATACCAAATATAAAAAAATATAAACATTAATGCTATGTTTTTCAGAAAAAAAAAGACTACAGAGACGTCTCGATAGAATCATCATCTTCTTCTTCACTACAAAGTGCACGAAATTTTGCATATCCAACGAAAAGCCACAATTTATTTTCTTGAAGGATGTGGGTCAAGGGCACACCAGAAGATACGTTTTGAAATCATCTTCTAGCTTCTAGATGGCTGTCTGTCAACCATGTCGGCAGAAAGGGAAGTGCTCCAGTTGTCTATAAATGTCATATAGAAGTTCTGAACTAGATAGTCAAAGTAAAAAGAACATAGGGAACTAAAATCTGTTTATGACACTATTAACAATATTGACCAACAGAAAACGTCACAGAAAAATGAGTCAATTTGATCACTGTATGATGTGCGAGTTTTGTTTACTAATCAGTGACATTATCGACGCTGAGTGCACTACAGCAGTGACTTCACTGCCAGTATTTTGATATTTACACCGGCATTGTACATCCCTAATTGGTCCCATCTTGTACCAGGTGAAAAAGAACTCATATAATAGATAATTTAAACTGAGAACTTTTTTTGATTTCAATATGATCATCAAATAGGGGCCAGCATAATACTACAAGAGCGTAATAAGATCGTTCAAAACTATTACTCTTTTAATACCACAACCAACTCGAACAACAGCTGATGTTAATATTTTCCTACGAGCTGGACGGAAATCCAGTCGACCGAAGAAATATGGATCATCTCTAGAAGTATTCACAAAAAAAAAAAACTTTGTTTCTAAAACGACAATATAGTGTTAGGTTTGATACTTTCTCAAGTCCAATATGTTATTGAACAAAGATGATTTCACACTACTACTTGGTATCTTTCTTCTTTATTATCAGAGAATCACAACTATATATATAATGATGAATAACACGACATGTTGGAAATATCCACATAAGATATAAGTAAAATCCTAGTGAACGCTAACATTAGAAAATACCAAACGAATGTGAATATAGGAAAATACCTAGCTATAGAACAAAAAGAGAAAGCGACATATGTATATGACAAAAGAGATGACACACATATATGATGAGCAGAACGAAAAGAAAAACAGTTGATATTACTTCTTAACAATAGAAAAAAAAATACTATAGTTGCAAATGTTTTGGTCTTTTGATATTAAGACAATAGATTTTATTCAAGTTGATTACATTAGACAAGTAATTCTCGATAAAAGATCTCCGTGAAAGGAAGCTGCTCGTGATGGCTCGTAAATTTTTATGAACATTCGGTACATGGGTTCTCTTTCAGACAATTTCAGAATGAGTGTTCGTGAATGTTAGTAAGCATAACTCTTCAAGGTCTACACTTTCAGATAGATAAAACTAATTTTTCTCAGAAATGATGTGTTCGCGTATTTTACTAATATCCATAGAAAAACTATTTTTTTAATGTTCAAATCTTTGAACTTTTCACTGACGGTATAAGAATATGTTAAAAAAATGAATTTTTATTGAAAAACAAATATACATATATATATACAAAAATATTCTAAAATCTGATTAAAACTATTTGAGAAATAAGATTTATCTTGTTACCAAAATAATTTCACTATCATCAGTTGAAAAAATTATTCTAACTTGAATCACCAACACTATCATAATCAGCATTTTTACTGTCTTGATCGAAATATGCTAAGGAGAAGATCGGCTCCTGCTGAAATGTACTGTCTTGATTGTTTATTTGTTGTGCTGCACGAGATTGGTTGCTGATTTTTGCTATACAGAATAGAGGACTAGTGTGAAAAACAGAAAAAATTAATCATGCTTACTCTCTTGAATAATACAGGAAAATGATGGCTTAGAAATAGGTATACAACATTCATTTTCGTAATAGCATAACCAGAAAGTTATTCTGCATAAATCAAGTTGTTTAGTTGCGATTATGTTTTTGTTTATCGTTTGACTTTGATATAAATTAAACATGTGAACTCGTACGCTAAATATAATATGTAAAAGCGATAATAAAATCATCCAAAAAAAGAAAATCAATAGCATACTCTTTTAATTGAGCTTTATGTTCTTCTGCAGTTATCTGCAAATAGACATGTTTTCTAACTGGATCAAAATAGTCTGTTGAATTACATTCATTGAAATTAAAACAATGAAGATTGTTATCATGAGTTAACTGATCTGTTCGCATTCGTGTTTTTTGTGGTACAATTATTTTAGAATCATGAGGTTGATAATCACAAGTCACAACTGCAACGCAAAGATACATCGGTCGCGAAGATTGCTTTGGAACCTACGAATAATATAGGTTTTCATATGACAAGTAGCTATGATAAACATTTTAAAAAACTTACTGTTACTCGCATTGGTGTTCGTTGAGGACCATCTCCAGATAACAAAGGAATATGGTTTTTTGCTAGATCTTTTATACTTCGATAATGCCATTGTGTTTTCGGTTGTGTAATAATCTTTACTGGTTCATATAGATAAAGTGTTAAATTTGAACTGTCAAGAATGGGACAAATTTTTGCGACTGAATTATGAAGTGATGGTAATGAATCATTAATGGACACTGATCGTCTAATACTTGAAGGAGATTGAGGTGGTTTGTTTGATAAATCAAGCGGTTCAGTTTGCATATCATGATGATAACGCATGATTTGTAAATAACGCATAGCGATTGCAGTTTGCAATTGATTAGTACTCTTATGCTTGCGAATAGCTAAATAGATATAAATAAAATTAATTTGATACCTAAAACTCAGGATTTGCTTAGAGGAGCAATAAATAAGTTATAGAAAATGATACACTTGATATTCTTTCGAAAAATTATTTCAGTAATTGTTGTAACAATATGCATTTACATACCTTTTGAAATATGACACATTGTTGAAAGGACAATTTGACTGAAGAAAATATCTGAAAGATAAATAAAACATCAATCATTTAGATAAGAATGAAACAAGTTTTAATTTAATAAACGAAACTAAAACAAACGACGGAGTTGGTTATATTTCCAAAAAAAGTATTACTACACATCAGCGAAGAAGTATTATTAATTATCTTATTTGAGATTATATAAAACCTAATAGCTCTTGGTCTTAGTTATTTTTGAAAAATATTTAATTTTATACTCTTTGTAGCTCATGAAACTTGTTGAAATTTCACATTAAATAATACTGATAAATCGAATATATAGATTTTGCGAATAAAGAGTTGCATGTTACACCAGAACGATTGCCTATAGATAGATGTAACTTCCCATTTGTCACATTTTGTGCTTTTCATCGATCAAAACTGAATAATTTATATAGTTTGCTCACATGACTAATGTTTTGCGAGCGTCATCAAATAACAAAAAGCAGATGGCGGAAGAGTCATCATGACTAGGTGGGAAAGAATGAATCATTACTTGGACAAATTTTGTCTCATTGAATTACGAAAAGAGAATGAAAGGTTACTACGTCATATTTTATTATTCGTACATAACAGAGCAGTGTTCGTATTTCGAGAAAAGAAACTGTTGGACATTTTGAACGTAAGGATATCGAGGACTGTTATTTTCAAAAATTTTCTAATTCCGGAAATTTCTAAAATTTTCATAGCTTCTCCTTCGGGAAATTTCGGTACCAATCCAAATTCTCGAAAATACTATTCGTTGAATTTTCCTGTTCTTAAAAATGAAAGAAATTTCCTTTTTTGGAAATCTGAACATATCTCATCATTCATAGATTTATTAATAAATAACAGATCGAGATAGAAAAGACGCAAAATTTTATAAACGCAGTTTGTTTGAGCAAGTTGTTTATACAAAGTTGTATCCATTGAATAACACACTGAATGAATTACAGTGAGCCTCAATTGGTTTTTCCCCCGTAGTATTTTTCACTTTTCTTCACCATAGTTTGTCCTTTTCCCAAAACCAAACCCATAGAAAGAAAGTGCAGAATCGACTGCATCTTTTGATATAAGACAATCATAGATCAAATAGAAAATGCATCAAGAAAAAACATGGTACTTTTTTTTTCACTACAATTTGCTATTGCATCTGAATTATGTGAAAAGGAAAGACATTCACATCACAATGGTTTGTCTTATATCAAAAGATGCA